AGTGTGTGTGAGTGTGCGTGAGTGTGAGTGAGTGAGTGAGTGAGTGAGTATATTATGTTGTTACTTGCATACGAATAAGTCATACATCAACACTCTGACACTCTTTTCTGCTTCTCAATCATACCCGCTAGGAGTTGGCAATGCACAGTGCCCTTCGTGTTCGAATGAAGGGTCTGCGGGTGTGAGCACAGGTGATTCATTGTCCAAACCGCTACCGCCTTCGACATACTGTCCGTTCTTCTGATCCGTCACCACCCTGCAGGTATGACCATTTCCACTCTTGAATTAACCATGAATACAAGAGAACAAACAGCACCATTTGGAGTTGAAAACTACTTGTGACTGTTTAAAAATCCTAATAACTACTTTTCAATGAAATTCTACAGTTCACGGTACTCGGTAGCTGATTGAGGACTTGCTTGCGTCTTAAGCAACAAGAGTGCCACAAGTACAATGAAAACATCAGAGCAAAATCCGCCACACAAAATCCACACAAAACCGACATACATACTTATTCCACCATGTTAATCGAAGATCGTCTGTGCCCACATTTTGAACGCACATGTGGTATTGCCAGTAGTAAAAGTAGTTGAATTTAACGAAAAAGGGTATGGCAGTGACCTGTGGAATAATAAAGTACAACGTAACAATTAAATAGCTGTCACGGGAGTGCTAGTCGCTCATTCCCTACATAATAGTCATTTGATGTACTATCGACCCTAATTTGCGTAACAGTACACCCCGCAATGTGAAAATATTGCGGACGACCGGAACAAAAATGCAAAACTACCATGTTTGAAAGTATATTAGAACTAAACTACTAACCCAATTCTAATCTGATAAAAAAAAAATCATAATGAGCGAACAACAATGCTTTCAACGAATGAGTGCTTAAATGTACACGGAGAAATTCACATGATGCACATTTTAATCAACCAAATAAAAAAAATACCCGTCAAGCAGATAGTGCTTACAAGAGAGTACTTTAAATGGTCACTTCTGGATGCAAGCTATCGAACAAACTATACATATATACACGAAATTCTTGGATTTGAGCCATATCGTGCTTTCTTTACATGTTCAACATCATCTATAAAACAGCATTCGTGAACATACATACTAATGAATAGACAAGGAGATACATACATAAATATGAGTGTATGCGCTTATATTTTCTCCTAATACATTATGTGATTGGGGCGCTTGACCTAAACTGTTACATATACACATTTTGGTATACCACATACTATCCATTCATAATCCTGAACAACACGATCCGACGTATAGTCTGGTCCTCAACTTCTGCGGCGCGACTTGACACTTTTGTGGTAGAACTCGAAACAAGGGAGTAAGAAACTTTCCTGACGGGCCTAAGCACAGAAGCCCTATCAGGTAACAGGCAGACATTTATGTTCTTGAACGCGTACCTTCACATTCTCCGTGGTCCGTGTGTAGACTTGCGCATATCGGAGCTTCTTCAGATTCAGAGCGTGGAGTTCTTTTAATATCTTTGTCGGTTCGTATAGCTCGCCATCGGAGGATGGTTCTGGCAGCTAAATATATAAGCACGGTATTTCATTCTAATGATTTCCATTAATGTAGAAAGGGAAGCATTTAAACATTCTGGAAAGCTCACGGTGCTGTGGCACACAACCTAATACATCTCAACCTTAAATAAACTGGGTATTCAAATAGCACCAGTTTGCTAAGTGGACGCTTATGGCTCAGTGAACCTACCTCCTTGAAGAATTCGTCGAAAAAATGGTGATCTATAGGTCGCGGTTTCGTCTTCTCTATTCGGTACGGTACTATGCTGTCGTGTGGAGCTGTTGGTTTATAAGATGAAAATTGATAACGATCAAGAACGTGCTAAAACTCGTGATACCGTGAACTACATATCAAGGTGCATCGATAGCGTAGATACCTATATGTTCTCCAGCGTATGCTACACACACGTTTTTCATCGGCACCTTGAGAATACCTTGTAGATGCAGTGACCACACACTTCACTTCCTAAGAATCTACCCATCGCGCTGATACACAAATACTAGACATGTGCAGCAAAATCGCACAGATTTGTATGTCGCGGACGATTCAGCTGTAAATGACATCAGCTATCATCAGAGGAATCACAGAAGCTGCTCGATGTCAACTACTTCATGCAAGGCTTACCGTATCCATATCTGACTGAAGATTGCCTGGCCTTGTATGAGGAATCGGGCAAAACGTGGTAGTAGTGGCAGTTCGTCGATGTCTTCGTGCCGTCGGAATGGATCTCATTTACCTCAGCCATCCACGAATCCAAAATAACGCCTCTGCAGGTATTCACAGCGAAATGTCATTGACAAAGCATATTCAACATCTGCCAGACGATTTGTTTGAAAGGTACCGTGAAATCTAGAATAACGCCTCTGTTGGTATTCGCAGTATACTGCCGATCACATAGCACAAAATGATCTGCCAAACGGATCAGCTCTAAAAGTAAAGTGGTGAACACGACGAACAACTGAATTCTCAGATTGACTGCAATGTCCAAAACAGCTTTAACAGTTCCATAACACAATCAACAATGAAATACTCGTGTACCAAGAGAATCTGGCTGACAACTGTAATAAACAGTAGTATACAAATACAACTTGGTGGCTTGGGTCGTCCAGCAACCAAATTTCACAATCGATCGCTCATTTATATATATATATATATATATATATATATATATATATATATATATACTATATATATATATATGTGTGTGTGTGTGTGTGTGTGTGTTGTTGTGTGTTGTGTGTGTCGTGTGTGTGTGTG